GAAAAAAAGATCCAAGAAAGAAAAATACAAAAAAAAAGATATAAAGAAGTAGCTTCCAGTATTTTTCTTACCAGTTTTATAGAAATATATTTGAATTTATATCTCTAAAGTTACATATTACTCTTCTTTGTATAATCTATACTGTTTAACAGAACTATAAATCTCAATTTTCTTTTTTCGAATGCAAAATGTTCATAAAAGAATGTTATGTTTTTCATATTTTTACATAGCCAGTGAGATCAACTAAATTTTAAGACGGTGTCACAATCACAGTATGAAAACTTGAGTCTTAAATATTATGAAAAATTTCTGATGCTGATAAAAATCAATGAAAACAAGCATTAGTTTCTGAAGAATTAGACAACATTCCAGAAATGATTAAATATGTTAAGCTTTAAATAATAGGATATAATGTAGGTCTAATCTTAGTTTTATTTTTTTTTTAAAAACCTGATTTAAAAATAAACCTGAAATCAATGCAAAAATACGGAGCATGATTCAGAATGTGTATCCTGTGAATGAAAGAGTGATACCTATCTTCAATTGTTCAAAAATCAAATGAGGAAAAATATAACCGTTAACATTTTTTTCCTTCCACAGCTTGGGTAATCCAGAACTGAGTTCTCCCTAGTTCAATGGGACATTTTCAAACAAGGTTTCACAGGGCTGAATCTTTAAAGCGATTCGCTCAGGATCTTTGCATGTGCACGTATCTTATCTATATCTTATCTATAAACTATATTATAATTCTACAACCCAGTCTTATTAAGCACATGGTCAACAATTTTCAATTTGGTTTCAATCGCAAAATCGCTATTTAGTTGAAAATGAAAGATACAAATAACTGAGTCAATACAATTAGGCCAAGGACTGAAGAACATTAAATCAAGGATCACACATAGTCTGAGGGTTTCGAGTTATTCACCACTGCTCTATTTAATTGGAAACGAGCACATTTTTATTGTTAGTAAAGCCATTTTAGATCAAACGGCTGCTCAGAAAATATATAAATCAACAAAGCTATAACCCATCCGAATGAGATTTTATCTTTTAAGTCATCAGTGGGGAAAAAAATATTTACATACTTTGTTGCCTGCACGCCCAGTTCTGCCTGCCCTGTGCACGTAATCCTCATAATGATTAGGACAACTGTAGTTGATTACAAGCATAAGATGCTTTACATCAAGACCTCGAGCTGCTACTGATGTAGCCACAAGGAGTTTGCATACGCCACTCTTGAAATCATTGATTATGCTGTCTCTGTCATATTGGTCAATACCTGCAGAAGAAAACATGCAGAGGATGCTGATGAACATTTAAGGTTCAGTTATTTTGTCAAATAATTAAAAGACGAGGAATGCCCACTACCTCCATGAAGTGAAAGACAGGGGTAAGAAGCTCTCATCAAGTCTTTCAATAATCCATCAGCATGCTCCTGTTTATCCACAAATATAATGACAGCTCCTTTTTCCTGATAATGTCCTAGTAGCTCAAGCAATTTCAAGAACTTGCTCTCTTCCTCTATGACAATCTGAAAGATCGGAATAGTTGGTGAAGGAAGCAGTACAGTTAGCTCCAATGGAACTTCTGGAGATATCAGTATGGTCTATAATAGCAACAAACCTGATTCAATCATCGTAGTAAATGTTCAGTGGAAACTTACTTTAATTTTACAATAAAAAGCATTAATTTTTTATATATAATCTATAATTGCAACTACCAAACAGAGTAAGATTCCGCTTCATTTTTCTTGTCTTTGGGTGGGAAAAGACTGCCTAGGTACAAAGTGAGTACTACAAAGATATACCATCAAAGACATGTTCCAACCCACACAAAAATTAGTTTGTTCGTTAAATGATTTTTAGGGTTACCATTTCACTCACATTGTGTCAAAATTGTACAATATCTACCGTATTTTTCAGAGTATAAGACAGACACTTTTCCTCCAAAAAAGAGGTTGAAAATATGGGTGCGTCTTATACACTGAATACAACATTTTTGGCCTCCTGAAACCCCACCCCCTTTGCAAAAATGGATGTGCAGAGGGTTTGGGAGGCCTGTGAAGTGCTCCTGGGAGTTGGGGAGGGCAAAAACGAGTAAAAA